AAATCTTGGGGACTCTATAGTTATTAGAAGGTGATTTGGTGACCTCAAACCATTAAACTGAATGGAGATTGTGGCATGAGGAGGTTGACCTGGAACCACAGCAAGGTCTAAGAGATTGTCCTTTCTCACCGGTCTCAGGAGAGCAGATTCAGAGTCCCCAGTCTTCAGTCCAAGTATCATCAGCATCTGCCCACCTCTGCTCTGTTTCCTTTGACAGTCCCTGTTCTGGTCTCCAGGCCCAGCCCATGGCTTGTGCTCTCTCAGACTTCCTCTGGCCATCCCGACAGGACTCCCAAGCTCTCCAGTTACACACTGTCAGATGAGCTCTTGTTTTCTCCTACAGGTGACAGATCCTTCTCAGTGACCATGGAAATCCCACCCTCAGAGGGCAATCATGCAATTCCTTGGAGCGGAGATGCTAACAACCAATAGGGAAGCTTGCCCTTAACTCACAGGTAAGTAAACTGAAGCTGGAGAGATGTGAGGGATTTCACCTAAGTCCAGAGTCAAAGATTCATGCTTGTCCAACCCTGTCACTTGTGGTGTCTCCTACTATCCCACTGTAGGAATCTGTTCATACTGCTGAAGGTGCCAAAGGGGATAATTTAGGTGTGCTCAGACCTAAAATCATCCATTAGTTATGGACTTAGCTCTAAAGGTTACCCATCCACTGTCTTCCTGCCTCCTCCGCTCCTTCATTATCCTGCTTCTGGCTCCAAGATGTCCCCAGGGATGTGGAGACAAAGATGGTACATAACAATGTCAATGCCTCCTTATTCATAAAGGTCTTGTTATCAACCAACCTTTACATCTTTCAAACTCTAAAGTATAGCAGGACCTTCAGAAACAGACTCAAAATTCTCCCCCTTCAACTCTACCAGGATGGAAGGCAGACAAGCCCTAGAGTCAGGGAGTAAAATCCAGGCTGTCTCCCAATACAGTGGAGGTGGGAAAGGGGGCTGTGGAAGGCAGCGTGTCTGGGTGAGTAGATGTCTCAGAGATGAGAAGCTACCTCAAATGCACTGCATCGGCAAATCGCGAGCCTTCTTGTGTCAAGGTAATTGAAGCCTTCAGAAATCACTGTCTGTGGAAACCTCCTACATGCTAGGAGGAGGGTGTAAGAACAACATTCTGCTCACAGGCTGAATCTCATAAGTCAGGCTTTGAATCCTGAGGGGTCATGTTTCAAGGGACGTGTAAAAGCCAACCCCATGTCATATGAGTATTATGAGATGGGATACTCTTAAAGTTACTCTTTGAAATTACTGAGCTTCAGGTTAGCCCATCTGGGCACCCATGTGGAGTTCAAAGGTCTTAACAATTTGTAGACTCTGGCATACAGCGGCATATTTATTGCTACGGCTATTTCTGTAGTGGGAGCATGTCTCATTTCAAATTTCAGAGAAGACCGTTAGTGAACATGACTTATAAATATTTGTTTGGGAAGCACAGTCAGCTAAATGACAATCAGACCCTTACTCTAGATACATGCTTCTAGTAAGCATAGGCTGCTGCTGTTGTTGTTACGTCCCATCAAGTTGGTACCGACCCATAGTGATGCTATGCACAACAGAATGAAACACGGCCCGGTCCTGGGCCAACCGCACAATTGTTGCCACGCTTGAGTCCATCGCTGCTGCACTGTGCCTATCCATCTCACTGGGGGTCTGCCTCTTTTTCTCTGACCCTCCACCTTACCAAACATGATATCCTTCTCCAGCGACTGGTCTCTCCTGACAATATGTCCGAAGTTTGAGAGATGAAGTTTAGCCATCTTGGCCTCCAAGGAGCACTCTGGCTGCACTTCTTCCAAAACGGATCTATTGGTTCTTTTGGCAGCCCATGGCACTTTCAATATTCTCTTCCAACACCATAACGCAAAAGCATCAATTCTTCTACAGTCTTCCTTATACACTGTCCAGCTTTCGCATGCATATGAGGTTATTGAAAATACCATGGCTTGGGTCAGGCACACCTTAGTCCTCAAACTGACATCTTTGCTCTTTAACGCTTTAAAAAGGTCTTGTGCAGATTTGCCTACTGCAACACGTCGTTTGATCTCTTGACTGCTGCTTCCATGGGTGTTGATATTTGATGCAAGAAGAATGAAGTCCTTGGCAACTTCTATCTTTTCTCCGTTGATAAGAATGTTTATTGGTCCAGTGGTGAGGATTTTTGTTTTCTTGACATTGAGATGCAATCCATACCAAAGGCTGTGTCTTAGATCTTTGTCAGTAAGTATTTTAACTCCTCTTCACTTTCAGCAAGCAAGGTTGTATCATCTGCATATCACAGGCTATAGGCTGCTAGATTCTTGGAAATTACGACAGTCTTCCTTCGATGGCTGACCAGAGGCAGTATCTCTGGTGACAATGATGAACAATAGCCTGAGATCTGAGGTAGATATGCGGAATCCTCTACCACGCAGGGCAGAAGATAATCTCCATCTTCCATCCACTGTGGGACCTACTGAAGGAAGGCTTTGGTTCTCACTTAGCAAGTAAACATTTATTGACACCCTGTGTGCCCAGGATGCAGCTAGTTTCTGGGGATCTCAAAATGAATAAGCCTTCTCTTCAAGTTTGAAGAGCTCATGGTCTTATCCCTTTTGCCTTGTCCTGCCACTCCACACTAAGACCCAAGCGTTTCTGGTGGGCAGAGGTCTATTACCTCAGAAAACTTGGCTCATCCAAAGTTTCCAAGAAAAACAGAACCAGGGTAGGATTACCCAATAAGCCAGGTAGGCACAGGTGCAATTGTGCATTCTTAATATCCACAATGCACAATCTCACCTGTCCTCTAACACATCGCAGATATGGTACAACCCATGTGAAGTTGCTCCCTACAGATAAGCAAGTAAATCTTAATGCCTTGCTCAATGCAACTGGTGCACCCCATGCTTACTGGTTAATCCTCCCCTGAACAGAACTCATCCTTGCCCACCTGTCTTCCTGGTTCCCATAGTTTTGAGTGGAAGCCTATGGAAGTTAAGTAGACAGATGTAAATCTGAAGAGATTATTTTCTGTCCAGTGTTAGTGAACACATGAATTTCAATCTCAAGACATTTGGAATGCGTTTACTAGTCTATGATCCCTTCAGGAAGCTCAAAAGAAAAAAAAGGTAATTTCAATTTCCTTTCAGTTAAGATGGTTGTGGTGATAAACCGAACCACAACAGTGTGGGTAGATAATGGGGAGATATTCAGAGCTTTTCTGTCATCAGATAAAGGCAGAGTTCAACTTGGTTAAAGAGTTCATGAGTGTCTGTGGATATATTTCAGCAACTTCTAGGAAATCTTTTGAAGCTTAGTAAATTGATCTTTCAAAAGGCATTTTTGCTCAAATTTGTTCCATTCTTTAACAACACAAGTTCAAAGTGTCCCCTTTGACCTGTCCTGGATCTACTTAACTTTCTGTTGTCTCCATATTGTTTGCCAAATTCATCTTCTCCAGCTTAAAAGATTCACTCAAGCACCTTAACTCATTGCCAGATGAAAGAGTAGAAGGCAGTTGAGTGCTTCAGAACACGTTTGAAATGGGGGATTTTAAAGCTGTACATATCTTATAAGAGCTGGGCCTAATGTAGCCAATTTTCTAAGCAAGATAATCATCTCATTTCCTAGCAATGACTCATCTGGTTATTTCTGGAGATGCTATGCGGCTGGTACATCAGTCATGGTTGTTAAACTAGTGAGCGACTTCTATTGTCCTCAACCCCAAGACTATCCGTTGCTCCAGCCAGATTATTCCTTCCCCAGGGACCCCCCCCC